GGGTTTATACTTTTCATTATTTTTTGACACTCACACGACATAATTTATGTGTATTAGGGGGATGTATTTATTCATAAAGCTGTTCTTATATGTAAATGAAATTAGAAAATTTTAACAACACACAATTAAAATTAGCCACATAATTTTGAAGTTTACAGTTTTAATATTGATAATTCATGGTGAGATGTAAGATTAATATTTGTTTTTCTCATTCATATATACATTAAAAATAAAGATGGCATTCTCATTTTTTGTGTCTACTGTGTGTGTGTAAAAGACATATTTACACACATATTTAGTGAAAATGTACGAGATAATAAAAAGATGTAATATTATTAGTTATAGAATTAAATATGAAAGGTTGGGATTATTAAATTTATTTAAATTTGATCTTAATCGCTTATTAGAGAGTAGGACTGAGGGAGTCTGAACAGTGTTTCAATTCCTCACGAGTCACGAGTAACTAATTTTGAATAATGAAATTGATTTTAGTATTTATTTATTATTATTTTCGTAACACTATTATTTGTAAAATAACATAATTGTCATCAAAGGATGGGATTATAGATTCATTCTGCATCTGTTTTTTTATTTTTTTTCTCCACTTCAAAATTGAAGGTGTGAGATGAAACAACTTATAACATGATATATTTTATCTTTAATCTGGAGGTTTATTGGGATTAAGATGAAGACGATACGAGAGAATAAAATAAAATGTTGTGATTGTACTCACTTTAGACAAAATGATGAATTACATAAGCTATGGCAAATTAAAGTTAAAGAGTAATGAAGAGCATTATTTAGTGCATGGGGTTGGGAGTTGCGCGTGTGTTGGAAAAGGATTAACGGAGTAGCATGAATGTATTAAAAATTGTTAAACAAGGAAGGGATGTGAATGAAGCAGAATGAGGTTTGAAAGTTATTAAATGGGAAAAGAAAAAGAAAAAGAAAACCAAAGGATCGATGGATGGATCTCAGAAGCAGGCATCCATTAAGCAGCAGCAGCAGAGAGCAGCCAAACTGCAGAAATGAATAGAATGAGTAATTTGTTAATGCATCTATCTGCATGCAATGCATCATATTATATATTATGAGCGAGTGAACTCGGGATCGGATCTGACTCACCAGCCTTCCAAGCAACCAGGGCCCTGTGAGTTTTGTTGTTGTGGAGGGGGAGGAGGCTGACCGTATTGAGGTGCGTACATCGGAGGATACCCCTGCGCCGGGTACGGCGGCGGAGGATACCCTCCCTGTGGCGGATATCCCGGAGGCGGGTATCCCGGCGGTGGGTATCCCGGCGGTGGGTATCCCTGTGGCGGGTATCCCTGCGGCGGATATGCGTCCTTTCCGTAGCCCTCCGGCGGATAACCTATATATATGTATGGAAGAAAGAAATTAGAATTAGAAAGATGGAGAGTTGAGATGCATAATAATAAGTAATGAGGAAGAGGAAGAGGAACCTTGCGGTGGAGGAACTCCGACGGACGGTGGCTGCTGGTTGTAATTGCTCATTGCGATGGGTGTGGGATTGGATACAAAAAACGGATATTTATTTGTTTTTTGAAAGGGTCGTATATCTCCGATTTTACACAAAACAGACTTCCTAACTGATTCTTTTTCTTTTCTTTTTTTTATTTTTTATTTCATATTGTTCGCTACCGCACGGCACTATGCTCTGTCAAATACCTCAACATAATCCATCTGTTATTTCTTTTTCCACCTTTTTTTTACATAATTCTTTTCCACGCTTTATATAATATTCATTTTTTTATATAAGAAGCTTTTTTAACTTTAAAAAACGAAGTTTCTTCAAATTCATATGAGATGCGAAGGAAAATAATCTCTATTTTCTAAAAAAAATAATAGTAAAATTTATATATAAAAAAATAATCTAAACAATAAATAAATTTTAATTAGCATAATTAATTTTACATATTATTTATTTATTTTTATATAACAATTTTTTTTATATCATTGACTTTTTAATAGTTAATTTCTGCCATAAATTTAATTGATTATTTTTAATAGAATTTCTCTTTTCAATCACATTTTTCTATCTACAATACTTACACTTTAAATCTTGTTTTAAAAGATTGAATTTAATATCATTTAAACTAACAACTTGTTGGTAACCGATAATATGACTAATCTCTAAAATCATAACATTTAAAAGAATAGTTACTTATCATTGTGTATATTGTGTATAATCTTTATTATTAAAGATAAGATTTTTGGCTAAATTATCCAGGATTGAACTAATTTAGAATTTCTTTAAGTATGATTAGTCAGTCATATATATTAT